ACTCTGAATCCAACGCCGTTTTTATGGCTCACAGGACCGTCTTGCATCCGGCCGGCTCTGCAAGGCCGATCGACTGCGTTTGCAGGAGGGGGAGGCTGAGAGGCAGCGGGCTCCCTCCGTCTCTGACCCCACAGCACGTCCGCACGCACGGCCGTGTCCCGATGGCGTTCGGGCAGCGTCTCCTGTTGGAACGCACACTGCTCTCCCTAAACGATGATCTTCAAAGAGGTAAAAGAAAATTCACGTTGGAGAGAGCAAGTTCTTGAACATCCCCACCGAGGGGAGCTGGATGGCATCTTAGGAAAGGAGACGCCATGGGTCCCCAAGAAGAAAATTCCATCATTTCTCATGTTCTTTTCTATTTTTCTAATTTCTCATTTCAATTCTCAATCGGTCAAGTTTTCCCCTTAGCGATTTGCACAAACGGCAGCTTACGTCTCGTGCATCTAAAAATACATGTCGCTCATCAGAGAGCGAGCCATGGTTTACGCGACTCTCTGCTTCTTGACAACTAAGATTAAATCTGCCGTTCACGTTTTATTTATGTAATTGGTACATCACAGGAATAAGCCGCCAACTAAGCCGTGGGTCTGGGTTGGTGATTAATGCCCACGGAATATGTCAGCGCCTCCCATGTGACATTTCGCTTTCTAGTCCTGCGACCACACTTGTAGCTCTTTGGTCTCTTTCGATGCGATCGGCGTGCGTTGCCAATTAGCGCTCGCTGCGAAGTCCTCCCAAATAAAAGCCAGAACGGTAAGCAAGTTTCTTAAAAACAAAAGCCCAACGATGCCACAGCTAAATATCAGGGATGAGTTTCGGAGACATGTTTCATAATTCTAAATGGCACCAAAAAAAAGTCTTGCTATCGTTTTTTTAAAGCACCTGCAAATACTTTTTATTTATTTATTTATGGAATTCAACTTTATAAATTAGGGGGAAAGTGTTTATGCATGTTTTATAACAACATAATAAAACAATATATACTGAAAGGAAGCCTTATGACTCCTTATGTGCTGAACATTTCATATGATACAAAACATTCCCAAGCATGGAAATCTCACCGCAGCAAACTGTTCAGTGAAGATTTTATTTCTTGGCGGCTGGGGAATGGAGCCTTCCACGTTGTTTTGATGAGAAACAATACATCAATGAGAAAGATATATTGAGAAATCGATCAGTGAGAAAAATGGACTGTCCAACACGCATTTTCTGAGCCGTTTACCGTTCTGCTGATGGAGTCACAGGTGGAACCACCTTGCAGCTAAAAAGACATGAACACCTGCCCTTCGAGTTAAGGGGGTGCCCAAGAAAACGAAAGAAAAAGACGTAAATGCGCAGGGCATTTTGAATGACGTCATTTTCCGTCACTGGCTACGTGGTATGAGGATAACTTTGGTGCCTTTCATTTCTGGAGTTGTGACTGCCATCTGGTTACGAGATGGACCGAGTTCAGCTGATTCGCTTACAACGTCAAAGGCAGAAACAGTGGGCGTGGCCCTCTGCTCTCTGAACTTCCTCGGTCCAGACGCAAAGGATAGAAGCTCGTGCTTCGCCCACACCTCCTCCTAGCCCAGAGGAGCCCACTTTTCAGACCCGTGGCCTTCAGCTCCAACAGCCCCGCGGGAAGATGCCACTTCCTCCCAGCTGTCACTTACCCCGTCCGCCGTCTTTCTCCGCTTCTTTTTCGTGGGGACGAGGGACTTGCCGTTGACCGTCCAGCTCCAGAATACTTTGTAGTGATGCAGCGGGATATCCAGTTCCTCGGGAGTGTCCCAAACGAGAGTCACGGTCACGCTGCCGTCGCCGTTGATGGTGGAGTTTGCGAGCCGCAGGTTGGCCGGAGCCGGAGGCGCGGACGGATCTGAAATCCCAGGAGAAAGATGAAAAAGTGATGCCTTAAGTATCAAAGATGCCAGGCCAAACCCCCATCTTTGTCCCGATCACGCGATCACTGCACGGAGCCTTGCCCAGTCTATGTACAATAGCTGGAAATGAATAGGGGGTAACGTCCCCCTTAGAAGCCTCAAATTAATATACGGTCTGCCAAACAATAAGATGAAGGCATCTGGGCCACATCTGTAATCTGGAAGGGTCCTTCTGGTCATTTCCACACCACTACAACCCCACCAAATTTTCAGCATACCGAAATTGGTAAGTTCCTCTAAGGCACAGTAACATTCCATTGAGGTTGCTTGGCATTAGGTGAGTAAGCAAAGTACAATTGCCCTTGGAAATTCTGGAAAGACACGTCCAGCTTCTGGAAGTACCCGCTGTATCTTAGTGGCCCTGGCGCTTTCCATTCTTGTATCACATAAGAGCAGCGACAGAGACGGGCAACAACAAACCGTTTTTTTAGCCGCATTACAAATCGGATGACAGACAGACAACACCCACTTTCGTAAATTCACCGCTTGCGGTTTGTATCACAAACCAAAACCTTCTCAGCCGTCGCAGGAAAGATTAGCTTCCGGAATTATTACGTTACAAATCTCCACTGTAAATATTTGTATTAAGAGGACTCAATACGTGGGAAGCTATAGGGTCTTTTCTTCATTTTCTGCCATAAACTGAGCAAGTGTAGATGCCGTTTACTGTGATTTACAGATGGATGCGGTCCAGGACCCCTGCCCAAGAAAACGCCGTCGATAACCCTAATAACAAGACCATCTGCAGCAGAGATGCGAAGAAGTTTGCTATAAATAAAGCAGCATGAAGGAAAAACACCCATGGAAACGTGAATTATTTTTTCTAAACCCCTTACTTTTCGCTGAGATGTATAAAGACTGGAAGTTTGGTTGGTCGGTTAATTTTTTTAAATGAGAACGTTTCGTGGTTGCTTTTGTAGGTACGTGGCTCATCCGGGCCCAAGACATGATACTGCTGATCAAGTGATACATACTTATTATATATATAATATAATGTGTTACATGGTACATATATTCTATATCATATACTATAGGCCTCCTGTATCTTCAGAGGATACATTTCAAGACCCCCAATGGATGCCTGAAACCACGGCAGATAGTTCAACCCCTTATAACCCGGTATAACTTCCATTACCAAGATGAGACGACCGCAATCTCTTTTTCCCCCAAAGATAATCACTATGAAAATTAGAGCCCCATGGTCAAGCCATTCCCCGCCTTGTAGAGAGGTTCCCTGCATTACCAAATAAAGTATATGAATTTTGTTGACTCACGAGAAATATTTTCTTTTGATTAATATGGTTTTAATTGTAGACTTTTGAAATGTACTTGAAAGTATGCATGTGAAAAAAAATATATATATCTATGGATTCCACATTATGACAAAGTCCTAAGGGAGTCCACGATGTATTTATTTGGTGGTGATGGTGGTGCTGGTTTTAACCAGTAAGGATCTTAAGGGTGAGAGAGATAAAGTGAGCTGTCCAAGGTCATTCACATAATTGGCGGCAGAGGCAGGATTCAGAATGGAAATGAGGGACACCGAGGGAATTGAGGCTCTAACGACAGGCACCCCGCCCTGCCACACATTCCACCTGTGCTTTCCGTCATCGTCCCAGCGACGGGTCCCTGTCCCTACAGAAAGCAAACACGTTAAGCCCCTTAATGCGAACGTGTCTGTCCCTCATAGTCTAGTGCAGAGATTGAGGGGTGGACAGTGAATGTGTAAGTCTGTGCAGCACAGACCGTCTCTGCTGCGATCACTAACTCTTGTCGCCGAAGCTCAGATAAGCAAGCACATGAGTGTGGCCGAGTGCCAATAAAACTTTATCTGACAAGACAAGCAGCGGGCTGAGTTTGGAGCACGGGCCCTGGATTGCCAACCCCTGACCTCACGTCTTTCAAAAGCGGTGACGTCGTTAGCTCCTTGACATCGACAAGAGCACTGTTGATGTCTCGTTTTATAAACGTATGGCTGTACTTTGTAGATTAAGTGCTGGCCTTGTGTCCCCATTTTACAAAGGAGGAAATCGAGGTCCAGAGAGTTTGGGTCACTTGTGCAAGGGTGCAGGGCGGGCGGCTCACACTCACGTCACAGGACCAGCGCTCTCCCGACCCCCACTTCCGAGGCGAAGAGCAGAGAACTTCTACTCCCTGCCAAGTCCCTTTCTGCTTCCTCTCTAATCCTTCTTTACGATCTTTGCAACTATCTGCAGAAGCACGTTTCAGAAAGCGGAAGACAAACACCGCTTCGAAGGTCACAGAAATAGGAAGGATGTATGATCTCTCATTCATATAGCGTCTCTGTGACGCCCAGTGCAAGAGACACCGAATATTCAGCAAGAATATCCCACTTCGGCCCTGGAGAAAATCGTTCCTTTGACTGACGATCAGTAAGTCGTGCTTTTGGCAAAGGAACATAGAACGTTTGGGTTTCAGAGAGACAGGTTTAAGGGTTCGTCCTTTAGCTTTTTGTGGTTAAGGCCGGCCACAAGCGACAAAGTAACACATAAAGGTTTAGCACGATGGCATGACTTTGAGCCCGTGGTGGATAGAGCGACAAATACCATCACACATCAGCCTTGGAGAAATGCAGGTCTGTGACGGCACTGGGGACATTTCTCATAGGAGAAAAGCACCTCTGCCTGGCCCCAGGTCGGGAAGGGGTGTCACATGCTGTGACTCCGGCTCCTTCAGGTTCTCAGACAGTGCTGTTAGGTGCATAAGCATAGACTCAGAATAACACTACACATTTTATTAAATTGAATATTGATTTTATTTATTAGATTTTCTCAAATGATGGTCACCATCGATCAAACATCCCATCATCGGAACACCTCTTGAGGTACGTGACAGTGATCAACTGCGATTGTGTTTTAAACGCGACGATGTCGCTAGTCACAGATTCTCCTACTAACTAACGAGAAAGCTGGTTCTAATATTTACGCTTTTTTCTCTAAACTCAGCAGTAGGGTTAGTTTTATTTTCCCCCTTAAAAAAGAGAAATCATGGTGCAGTACCTGGATACTCAGCGACACATACGTCTTTGGAAAGCTACAGAAGCTGCCGTGCGTGCAAATTTCCAACTATTGAATAGTTTCCAAGCACCTCAGCAGCCAAATCTTGCCCATTAGCAGTGGCACCTACAGAGCAGCTGTCACGAGCGGAAAAAGCCACGGGTCCCCGTGGAGCGGCAACGGGCAGCTTTACGGCCACCAGTGAGGTGTGCTCTGGCTGGGTGAGCTAGCACTCTATATAATGCGTGCACGAAATAACGTCCAGCAGCCCTCACATACTGTGAGGACCTGGAGCGGCAACGGGCAGCTTTACGGCCACCAGTGATGTGTGCTCTGGCTGGGTTAGCTAGCACTCTACAATGCGTGCACGGAATAACGTCCAGCGGCCCTCACGTACTGTGACGACAACGCCATCTGCTTCTCTGTTCCTTTTCAATGTGTCATCTACACACGGGGAAATCGGGAAAATCCAGATGCATGAAACACTTTGAACTTGGAGGGAAGTGAACGTAACAACGAAAAGACCATCTATTAGTTTGATGATGACGTGAATTTAAATTGCTTTGCTTTCTTTTATCAGATCTTTTAAAAGTATATGACGTCATAACGTTAAATTGATGCTGACTGTTGTCAACCATCCCAATAAGTGTTTGCCTGCTTTCAGCGACATGCAAAAAAAAAAAAAAAAAAGTTTCGGATTTTGCCGAATACGATCCACGAAATGACAAGTCTCCCTTTTTCTGCTACCCGAGTGGACACATAGATGTCACCTTAATAGCCAGAGGATGCTTATTTCCCAAGTTCAGTAAACCCATAAGTAATACCTTGTAACAGGTCATAGCAGTTAGTAACATACTCTTCCCATACGAAGCCTGTAATATACGGACACGTTTTTGTCCCTTGAAGACAGGGGAGCGCGAAGAAGAAAAGGTGAACCATCGACTCGCCGAAAAACAAAAGTGAGTAGAACCTGGAACCCAAAAGTGCATTTCCTGTTGCTACAAATGTCACTTGCACTTGTTGACCCGCAAGGCAGAGCTCGGCGTTGGTTGGAAATCAGCGGTTTCCTTATTCGAAGACGTGGACGATATCGTGAAACTTGCCTGGTGTTGGAAATGGTGGCGGCGGGGGACAGAGGAACTGGACCTAGGAAGGCTCACCTGCCCCCACCTGCCCCCACCTGCCAACCGAGGCAGAGAGCGGGTACACCGAGCAGCACCAGCCATGCCTCCGCTCACCAACTACTAATGTATTTCTTTTAAACCATAATGTATTCATAATGTATCCGTCTGGACCCACAGCGAGCTCTGCCCGCCAGCAGGGCAGAAATGCGTGGAAGCAGCCTGCCCTCGATGGCCGAGTTCCTCACGGGGACAAAGCTCGGGGCCCACTGGGGTAACTGACAAGGATGGGAATGAGTCTTTTATTTTCCTTCTGTTGCCTGCCTTGCATCCTCTCTCCCCGACCCCCATCTCCTGGATCCCCTCCGAAATAAAGCACCTCACGCAAAGTCATAACTTGCACAGGCTTCGGGAGGAGCCCAACTCATAGTGGGACTCTGCGTGTGACACAGTCCAGAGCAGCACGTGCCAACATCGTCGTGAATGCACCTGGTTCTGCTCCTTCCGTTCTGATGCTGCCTACGGTTCGCTCCACGTGGGGCAGGACAGGAAAGGGAGACCCTAAAATCTGGCAGCGTGTTGGGCAGGAAAACGCTTCGGCCAGGAGTAACCTAGAAAAGTAACTCACCACGTGGAGGAAGCCCACGTCCATTTCCATGAAGAGACAGAGTAGAAAGGGACATTATGCAGTAGGCTACTAAATTCTTAATTTTTAATGTCGAAGTCAACTTTCCTTCTTAAGTGACGGGAAGAAAGATAGTGCAGAGAATTTAAATAACTCAATGTAGAAATTATCCCAACCTCTATTGTGGCCTCCGATGCCAGCAAAAATGACTGACTTTACCCATTCTGCAATCATGCATTTGTTCTGGGTGGAGCTGGGGGTTAGCAAGAAAAATATCCAACAATGAGATTCGCCCAGAAAAGAAGAAGCGTGCAACCGAGTTGCTAATCTATCGATAACTCAGAATTTTCTATAAAAAAACAAGTCTTCTAAGGAGCTAGGATTAAGTTCTGGGGAAAACGGGTTAAAAGGAAATTTACTCACTTAGTAGTAGCCAATCCATTCTGGCAAACCACAGACTAAGGTTATATTTAAGCTGTGAAGAAGAGAATGACGAGAATTTTGGTTTTTCCATGAAAATCAGGATTATAGCCAATGAACACCAGGCAGTGAGCCTAAATTAAATTAAACTCGTTTTATCAAGTCTTTTTTTTTTTTTCCTTTTTCTATTTAACTTTGCGTTTCTTTTCAGAGGTGTTCATAATAGATGGGAAAAATCCCTTCCCCTTTCCTGACTCAGCTTTCAAATATCAAGGCCGGCCCTCTACTCAACTCAAACACTCGGGATAATTGCTTACCCATTGGGTAGAGTATTATCTTGGACGCAATAATTCTTTCTTAAAGCAATTTAAACCACGAGAAGACTTACGACCGGTACAGTTCCAGTTCTGGAGCAGGAGTAAAGGGGCTTTTATTAAATGAAAAAGCACCTTTCTCTAAAACATTGTGGTCACCGTGAAAAGGCTGTTCTACTTCCTGTTTCCACAGATACACCCCGAATCCACACTTCCAGCCATCCCACTGTGAGCGGCAACCCAGACCTTCATCCTCGCACTTGAAAACCAACAGTGTCTGTACAGAAGTCATAGTCATTTTGACTTTGTTTTCAGTGAAGACGCATCACAGAACGATGGCCGTAGAATAGATCCACTAAACAGATGAAGACACCCCTTCTAGGACATGTCTGAAGGATACTTCACCATTTATAAGACGGTATTACATCTTTCCTAATCTTACTCAAATCTCACCATATGTAGGAATGTGCCTACTTGGGTGGGGGGGGGGCGCAAATTAACAATCTTATTGAAATAGAATTTACACACCATGAAATTCACTCACCTTAAGTCTACAATCCAACGATTTTTTTTGCATTTACTAAGCAAATTCTAAACCATCGCCATCATCCAGTCTTCGAATGATTCTATCACCCCAATAAGATCCTTCCTGCCTCGCTGGGAAACATTACGGTAGAAACAAAGTCATTTTTGCATCTTCGTTACCTCCTTTTATTTCTCATGTTTCTCGACCACAAGCCCATCGGAGTGTCCGGCAGCCCTCAGCCTGGTACATCGACTAAGAACGTTTGCAGAGAAAGGACCGAAAGACGGCAATCATATTGATTCAGTAATGACTACTCCTCTTCTGGAAATATGCGTATCCCCACAGAAGTAAAGGAGTTCGCCCCTCAAATACTCCCTTCTCCCAGCCAGTCCCCTGTCTGACTCAGAGTACAGCTGTGCTCTTTACGAGGGCTGAGAAGACCCAAGAAACCCACCCCACGCCTTCTTCTCAGTCTCCATCTTCCTCTACCCTCCCGTGTTCCCCTGCTCAATCCTCAGGCTCCCCTGATGCTCCAGGAATGCTGCAAGCTCACACCTGCCTCAG